GTTCTCATCGCCAGCTTCATCACCGTCATCGTCTCCATTGTCTTCCTGCATCGTTTCAGCGAATAATCTCCACTCATCACGATCAGCTCTGAGACGTTGTTCGGCTTTCTGGGCCTTGAGTACTTCGCTTCGCAGATCAGCAATCTTCTCTTCGTACTGTTCCGCGACCTCTTTCTCGATCTGACGTCTCCTTGCCTCATGGATGGAAGCATCGTAGGTGACAGGGGTAGCCTTTGGGGCACCATTGGGGTCGTTGCCCCTCATAGATGCGATAATGCCGTCGATACCAACAGGTCTTGAAGAGCTGGCAGATGCTGTGGACTTCGATCCCAACATCCCGCGATCCTCCAGGAGTTCACGTAGCTGTCGGTCACGTACGGCTGCCGCATCACTTTGTCCATGAAATCCGCTTGGTATGCCAAACAGAGTGGCTGCACTGGGCGTGGAACGCGCATGTGCTGGACTGCTAATGCCTGGCACGTGGTGCTCGGGCATTGCATCCGCCACGATTGGCGTTGCTTAGGATTTATTTACCTCACCTTTGATGTTGCCAGTGAAGAAGTTTCCACCGGTAAATGGGATGCCATCCATCGCAAGGTTCTTGTCCTTGTCCGATTCTGAGAATGCGAACTTCTCTTTGGCGACTGGACTAATTTGACTTGGGGACCGTATTTCAGGGGATCGCACCTCACCTCCTACGGAAAATGCAGGTACTACGTCCTTTCCTACGTGCTCCCAGCCAGACTCAGTAGTCCTCGAAGACATGGGCATGCTCGAAGGCCGTGTCACTCCGCCATGGTAGTTGGAGTTCCGTGCTGCCTCCAATCCGCTGCGTGTCCTCGCTTGAAGATCTTCTTGTGCTTTGAGCGTTTTCCTGAGTTCACTCAGCTCGTCGTGCAAGGTGGGCAATGCGCGCCTTGCATGATCCTCATTCTGATGGAGTCGGTCCTCTGCATCTTGCATCCTCCTCACAGCCATTTGGCGGTACTCTTCCTCCTCACCAAGACATTCGCGAAGCCGAAGTCGCTCTTGATCAATGGCTGCGCTGTTTCCAGCTAGCCCTTGAATCTCGTTTATGGCTCGCAACTCCTGATTCCTGACCAGGTGGAATCGTTCCTGCATCGCTTGCAAGGCTTGTTCCGAACTTGCTGTGTTCGACCGGAGGAACAAGTTCTCTCTGGCTTGTTCATGAAGTTCGTGAGACAGATGCTCATACTCACGTGCCATAAGCTCACCATCGCCCTGCGCTCTTGCCTCCAACTGCACAAAGTTAGTGGCTCCTTCCGTGCGAAACACATGCAGCTGTTGAGCCAGTTCCTCGGCAACGGCGTGTGCTTGACGTTGTTGAGCAGAGTTCTGTTCATCCATGCGAAACAAAGCTGTTTCATAGTCTCGCTTCATCTCCTGATTGACATTGTTGATGTGCCTCATGGCTAAGCATGCATGGTCACGTTGTCGTTCCAATTCTTCGATGCGAATTCCAGATCCTTCATCCTCTTGCTGCATCTCCTTGATCTTCTCCATCAGGGTCTGGACAACACCTTCGTACTCCTGCACCTGACTTCGATAGTACATCTGCTGTGCAAGATTCGATGCTTCAAACTGTTGCGGAATTGTCAGTCCCTGGTAGGCATTCGGACCATCGGCTATGGCTGGTGTAGTCACCGACGAAGCGTCACCCCGTGCAGGAATCGTGTCCAGAGTCATATCCAGATCGTCAGCTTCGCGTGGTTGATTGGTAACCATTCGATTCCATGTCATGGACTTGTCGCGTCCACGAGTGGCCGAAGTCCTAGATCGTGCTGAAGAGCTTCTCGAAGATGATGGTCGCGGCTTCTTTTCCAAAGTCTTCACTCCCTTGTCCTTTGCCCTCGACGGAGTCCGAGGTGCCTGAAAACCAGACGCTTCGGATCGTCGTTCTGGAGCCTTGCTCGTCCTCGAACCTGTGGATGTTGGACGCGAAGGCGTGGATGCTCTTGGTAGACTCTTTGCTTTTGCTTTGGGAACTGCCTTTGCAATGGCAAGCGCAGAAGATTGACCTTTGTCATCTTCCGTGGAGCTATCAACGGATTGCACCACTGTGTCATCAGCTGTTGACTCACCAACGGCTGGCGCTGCCACATCGGCACCGAAAGTCATTGTCGTATCTTGACTTGATCCCGAGTTCATTGTGGTCGTAGTAGATCAAGTAGTCTTTGCTGCAGAAAGGCAGAGCCGCGTACGGCTGATAACCTGCGTGGGGATTTGATCCTGGTAATGTTCTCTGTTGCTCACCCCACAAAGAGCTGTATTGACTGTTGGCGTGGTTGCCTTCTACAGACTGGATCACCGTTACTTCCACTTCCACACACGCACTCCTACGCAGGCAGATCCAACGTTCGCTCGTTTTGCACACTCACGGCCGGCGGTGGATCGTCTGTGCACGGGATAGCTCTGTCCACTCGGAGAATCACAGAAGATTATAGCACTTTAGCTATGGGCAATACTTTCTAGAGCTTGTGCTCATTCTTGAGCCAAACGTTGCATGGGCGGTCATACAGAAAGGATGGATAGGCATTGCGGTGTGCGTAGCACTACCACAAGCCTACTCCTAGAGACGAGGGGCGCGTGGCGTGCCCCCTTCCCTTGCACTTTACACGGTCTTGCTCACAGCTCTTATAGTGACACCTTAGAACTTGACAAGGCATCGCAGTCCGTTCGCACCTCACCTTCAAGTGTCGCGTACGCCAGCTTCCGGGCCCACCACGTAGCATTGCAACAGCCGACGAATTGTCTACACGTAGTTCTCGCTACACCCGTCGTTGACACAGTTCATCAATCAAGACTCCTACGCTTGCCGCTTTCAATCAGAACAGCTGCTTCAGTCGACTGGTAGAGCTCCGATTCCATGATCGACAACATTGTAAAGCTTTGCTTACCACATCGCCATGCGATGGGGGAGTCATCGATTGTCACCGACGAAGCACCATACGACTTCGCGCCGAACGGTGGGAAACTAGCGTCTGAGTATAACCCACTATTTTGAGTCTATCCCAACTAGAATACTAGAACGACCCTCGGCCGCTTGTGCTTCTTGTGACTGACTGCTTCTAGCTGTTTGCGTGCTGCTGCCGGGTGTTGCTGTGATGTCCTGACTGCTGCTGCTGGTCACCTCCTGGTCACATAAGCTTCGGCGGGGCTTCCGAGGATCATCTTCATCGCTGCCGTCGTGCGGAGATAGGACAACACCCTCAACGCAATCCTCCAGACTCGAATAGGATGCTTGCTGACCCAGCTTGCCATGTAGCTAACGATGTGATGGATGTCAGGGCGGCAACGCATCGCTAGCCAGGCTGTTCTCCAACCAGCCGCTGAGATCCACTCTCGAGGGCATGGAAGTAGGGTCTGAGGAGCTTGAAGAAGATCATGAGAACGAATCAAATCCATGATGTTGCCTTGCTGCGTCACCTCATACTCCACAGTCTCTCGCTGAAGAATCTCCATCCCAAGATAACGAACTCCTTCTGGTGCAGTAGCCCATTGGAGCTCTGAACATGGCCACTCTGAGGAAACCCATCCATGAAGCATGGTCGCGATGCCCTTCGGACCGAAGTAGAAAAGGTCAAGGTCGTCCACGTAGGTAACAATTAGGGCAACAAGGGTTCCCCTGGCCTGTTCTTCCCCTTCTTGATTTACCGCAAGCCACAACTCAGAATCCGTTTTTGCCTGCTGCAGCACGATGTAGTCTCCTCCCAAACAGTCACCAATGAAGATTTCTTTCTCACTCGTTGCGACGGTTCTGGAAGGATCGCCTCAGCCTCATCCGGCTTCACAGCCTCATCAACGTCGATCACATTGACCTTCATGTGCATGGTAGTGAGATACCGTCCATTATCATCCCGAATCACGTGTCCACCTCGCACTTCCGTCGACGGACCGACGAAGACACCGCTATCCCACTTGTTGTTGAGGTCGAATCTTCCACCCTGACCGAAGCTGTGCAACGCCTTTGGCCCTCCCTATTCACGCTGAGCCCAGGCTGCGTGTCCCATCGCCAGTGGCCAGCAAGATTTCGGCAATGAAGCTGCCTGAAGTAACGCGCGAGCCCTTCTTTTCATCATCTTCGCAGCCAGTTCTGCACGCCCGTTAGACTGTGGGGATTGAGCCTCCCCAGTCGTCGGGTACACATCACGCTCTAGAAGCCACGCGCGTGCCCGCGTATTCCTTGCCCAGGCAGTTCACGCGCCCTATCACTGACTGTGAGCCCTTTGCACTGGCAGTCCATCGGCTCTCAGCTGCGCGTACATCAAGCGGATTGCCGCCTCAACTTCAGGTGCCGTGCGTGCCTTCACGGGAATCATGTAATGCAGGTTCTGGTACTGAATCTTGCCCCCAATCTCCCGGAAAATCTTCTTGAACTCCTCATTGGCTTCATCCATTTCCTGCTTGTCCTCCCTTGACACTTCGGGCTGTTTCTCATCAACCTCTTCCAAAAAGTCTGGAGGTTCACCGGGACCAACATAGCCAACACCGGCTCCATCATATGTTCCTCGCCTTCTGCTGGAACTCCCTCTGGGATTTTGTAGTCCTTGAACCCTGTGTTGACAGGTATCGTGTAGTTGCCGACCAAAGTGTAGCGATACCTCTTTGCATCTGCTGTTTCTCCACGCACTCGGAAAGGACCACATAAATCCAGCGACAGGGTGTAGCAGCTGGGGGAGATCAACCTCCTGTGGCTCCTGCCGGTTGACACAAGTTCTGCAATGGCGATTGTAAGGAAGATGGCCATCCTGGATGTGTCTGCGCCACTTTCGCAGTTCTTCAGGACTCATCCCTGATGCACCGGCTGCCGCACTGCACAACAATAACGGCCCAGGTTTCGCCATAATCGAGCTCCATCTGCAAAAAAGCTTGTTGAACTCCGACGACAATCAGCTACAGCCTTGCTTGTAGCCTCGATTCCAGGACCCCAACCACGATCATCACCAGCCAACTCCAAGTTGGTTGCCACGCAGTAGCACTCAGATGATCCTGGAAAAGATGCTTGGGTCACTGGAATCTGGTACTCCCTCTGAAAGGCCTGCCACAAAGGTGTAGTCCAACAGCCCAGACTCAGGATCCCGCGTCATCGCGATATACGGGCTGGGTTGTCGGTGGAGTCGAGCTCCCTCCCTTGAAACCATCCACAGCAATAGCTCCTTGGCACAGAGCTCGGCACAGGCATTGGAAGGTGGTGCTCCGACTATCCCTTCATCTGCCCCGACAAGCGGCGCACAAGAGGGCCTTGCATGCCGGACTGTCACCCTTCTTGAAAACCCACGGCTTCGGTGAACATTGATATTGAAGAACACAACCTTGTCATTCTCCACCATTTTGAACACCTCCGAGGCTTCATCTTCTCGCTCATACAGCTTCACCACCCACCGCTTCGATGACAGCGACTTCCATTGGGACCGCCTCATCGGTAAGGCCTTCAAGTAGCCACGGCCCACTTCTTCACTGACATCAACCTTAACCGCCAAGAGCGATCTCAGATTGTCACTCACACCCTGCAATGGAGAGCTTGGGTACTCGAGGGCCTTCAGGAGATAGGCTCTATCACCTGTGTGGACAAACTTCATGAACATGTCATCCCAGTCCTTAACCTCGGCCAAACACAAGGCTCCCAAGAACGTCTCCGCCGTGGCCTCCCTGAGCTCCTGAAGCTTGCGTTGCTCCAACTGATGGACGAGCTCGAGAGCTTGTGAACTGCTCCTATCATCGGACAGTTTCCTCGCTCCACAGTTTTCAGAACCCCATGTTGAGGATGGATGATTCGCAAACCTCCCCGTCTTGTCCACGTCAAGTCGCAACCGAGTTGTTGGACCAGGGCCCCCAAAGGCAAGATAGTGGAGGCATCCTGTGCCGCCGCTGCATCCTGGCTGTCAGTTGTGGACATCAAGGTTTCTGCTCGATTCTGCTTCAAGGTGATCGCCGCTTGTCCCCCTGCCAGCTCAATCCGTACTGGCACTTCAGGCTCAGCGTCCTTCACATCGTCCTCAGGAGTCCTGCCACGGTAGGCGTGAGAAGCGCCCGAATCCCCTTCATCTGTGCAGCAAGCTCTTCCACGCTCGAGTCTGTCGGTCTCTAGCTTGTGGAGTTTCTTTTCGATGTACTCCTTGCCGGCACGTGCTTGTCCTCTGGCTCTCCAAATTTGAGGGCGAAAGCCTGGCTCATAGCCCTTTAGTCGGTTTGGGCTATCGGCTAAGTTGCGCAGCGGCCTCTAGCTCGGCGTGGCCTTTGATCCTCGCCTGAGCTTGCGGATGGTCTCGCCGTGCTGGTCGATCTTGTCGAGTTGTAGCAACTCCGGATCTGGACTAGCCCTGGGCGGTGTAGCCGGAGCAGGCTGCTCCATAGCCGGGGGCTGGTTGATCTCGCCCGAACTGTAGCCTGGCATACTAGCCGCCTCTCTGTTGGCACAAAGCCTTTGCTGGAGGTAGATTTGCTCCGGCACGTCTAGCCTCATCAACTTGTTCAACATTGCGTTCGCCTGCTGCAAGAGCGTGCTAATCTCCTGGGCCTTCTCACCAGCAGCCGGCTGTTCAGTGACCGCAGATGTCGCAGATGATGCTGCCGCAGGTGCCGTAGGGACCGATATCGTAGATCCCCAAAAACCTGAGCCCGCTGTAGTAGGTAATGAACTCACATTGTTCTGCAACGACTCAAGAATCGCTTGTTGGTGCTGCATGGTGGCTTGGTTCAAGGTTGGTGTAGAGGTGGTTGGCGCCGGAGTCAAAGCAGTTGACGTAGCTGCATTGGTAGTAGGTGATGACGCGGGCCTCTGCTTCTGCGGGGAGGTCCGAGGATTCTCTGTCGGGCATTCCTTCTGAGTGTTTTGCGTTGACCCACAACACCAGCACCTGGCTCTCTCCTCGTTGGACGAGAACGAGTGGTCAAACTTGCAGCCTTGACCAATTGAACATCCCGCATCTGTGTGGAAGAACCGACATGGGACCTTGCTCCCAGCTGCTTGCCCATCACCCTTCCAAGTTGGAGAACTCGTACCACTAGTTCCGGCTGCATTGGCATTCATTCCCTTCAAAGTCGTACCGTCGTTGGTGGACGAAGTGGTTGATGCCTGTTGCCTCGTCGGGGTGGCCTGCTGCAGTTCTGCTAGCACATGGTGGTAGTAGCTCAGGACTGTGGATACTGTAGCTGCAGTTGATTCCGAGAAAGAGCCAAGCGAAACTTCACTTCTTGATTCGAGTCGATTGCCCTCCCCGCAATAGTCTCAATCCCGTGAAGAAGTAGCACCAGAAGTTCCTGTCTGCAGGTTGCAGGTTCCTTCCCTGGTAGGGGGGTGGACGAGTCGTTCGCCTTACCTGCGACTAGTGGTCGGTTTTTGAACAGATGCCAGTGGCCATCTGTCTCGCGAGTTGCCCGAAGATCGGGCCCGCACTCACCCCCCATGACCGCTAGGAAAAAAAGAGGGCTACTGCACAGGGTTTAACTGCAGCCCAGTTGAGGGTCCCCCGAAACTAGCGCTTACGAAAGTTTCGTTGGGGAAATAAATAGGGTAAGGACAATCCCTGGGACCTAGTGGGCCAAACCCCTAACGCGCGACAAAATAAAACATGGTCGACTAGGCTATGTAGGCGAGTATCTTGATGAAGAAGTACACGAAGCTCAAGAAGAGACTGTGAGAAGAACAAGCGGGCGGAATAAGATGAGTTTCGATGAGAAGATGATTACAAGGATTATTCAAGTTGTTATAACTGGAGTGCTGATGAGTTTGTCTGAGGCCACAAAGGAAGGGATGGAAGAAGAAGTCGGACGAGGTGTACAAGAAGGACTGAACTGGAGTGCAAGCATGTGGTGCATGGTTATCATGTTCACCTTATGTGTGTCCGCGGCCATTTTTAGATCAAGCTCCAAGGAGGAGGAGGCGAAGAGTAGAAAAAGAAAGAAGGTGAAAAAGGAAGAAAGATAAGAAAACGACCACGCACTCAAGTGCACGATCGAGGACAAATGCCGGTCGATCGAGGCGGTAACGTATGTGGAACGGTTGTTGAAAAAGGGAAAGGCCGACCGCCCGTCCATAGAGACAGTCTGGAAAGAGATTCAAGGACTGAACAAGAGCAGAGAAGACAAGCCGACAAGCGAACCGGGAAGCGATCCGGAGAGTAGTGAAAAATAAGAAAAGGAGAAAGATGGAAGTGATGACTCAAGCAGTGGAGAAGAAGAGAAGGAAAGATGAAGGAAAAGAGAAGAAAGAAGAAGAGAAAGAAAAGAAGGAAATGGAGCCACACGTACTCCCCCATCTCGCGCTTCCTGACTGTACGCTGACACAAAGCTCTCACTCCTCTTCAACGGCTGGTGACCGTCTTCAAATTGACCAACAGTCGTTGGGAGCTCAGATGGTGCTTACGGTCGATCAGGTTCGGGTAGTCTAGGAGGTTCTTGCCGTGGACGCCTAGGGGATTGCAGTCGTAGAGGTACTTGAGAGGGTCCTTGCGTAGTAGGCTGACCAGTTGTAGTAGTCACCGATGGCAAAAATCCTCGAAGGGAATCTCTAGGTTCCTGTTGGACACTTTGGTTCGGATCCTGCTGCTGCGGCAACGATTGTGTCGTTTGCTGCTGCGGCGACTGCTGTATCGGTTGCTGCTGCGGCAACTGTTGTGTCGTTTGCTGCTGCGGCAACTGTTGTGTCGTCTGCTGCTGCGGCAACTGTTGTTGTGTGGTCACCGAACCACCCTGATTACTCAGAACACTAAATTCGCACCGCTGCACTACGGTCGTAGAACCATACGTCGACGCTCCATGTCCGGTTGCACTGCCGTTTCCTTCTTGGCCTCCTGAAACAGACTGCTCCGTAGGCCCAGGCGCACCACTATCACCAGGTTGATTCACCTGATGAGCTGCAGCTGCCCCTGTCCCGTTGATCATTCCCTGAGTCCCAACAGAACCAGAAGAAGGGGGATCTGACTGTCTGTAGTCTGGACCTCTTGTTTCGCGTTTCCAAAGTCGCAGGCTGACCCGTAGATTGGGCGCTCATAACCTATAGATGAAAGAAGGCCTTGCAAATGCTAAGCCCTGGCTTCAGTCAATGTTCTTCTCTGTATCGTTCCAAGTTTATTGGGTGACCATGAAGCGAGCGCTTGCGAAGGCTTATTTTCGCAACGGAACACGAGAAACTACGAAGATCTGACAACTAGAGCATTCTTTACAAGCTCTTGTGCAACACTACGACGTCTGGCACTGAACTTTACAAGTGCTTGCAAGACGTGTAACTCTCATGCCTGATGCAGGTTCAAATGGCATCTGAATCACACACAAGGCTTCCACAGATTCATATTCGTTCTAATAGTGTTCTCGCTTATTTTGAAATGGATTCCTATTAATTTTAAGGCGGGGGGGGGGGGGGGGTGAGCACATATATATATATATATATATGTATATATATATATATATGTATATATATATATATGTATATATATATATATATATATGCTTACGCCCCCCCCCCATGATCCATAATATGCTTGCTTTTGGTAAGCAGTGGATCATGGGAGGTGGGCAGCTTCGGATGCTGAAACACTGCCAGGCTCGAAAATCACCAAAATGCCTGAAGCCTGAAGTGCGAAAACACTGGCAGGGATCAAAAATCACCAAAATCCCCAAAATGTCAGAGACTATGGCCCCGCACTCCGCATAGTTGCCAGGATTTTGGGAATTTTGGGGATTTTTGATCCCTGCCAGTGTTTTCGCATTTCAGGCTTTACAAATTTTGGGGATTTTCGAGCCTGGCGGCATTTCGCCAACGTCGGATGCTAAAACACTGCCAGGCTCGAAAATCCCCAAAATTCCTGAAGCCTGAAGTGCGAAAACACTGGCAGGGATCAAAAATCCCCAAAATCACCAAAATGTCAAAGACTATGGCCCCTCACTCCGCATAGTTGCCAGGATTTTGGGAATTTTGGGGATTTTTGATCCCTGCCAGTGTTTTCGCATTTCAGGCTTTACAAGTTTTGGTGATTTTCGAGCCTGGCGGCATTTCGTCAACGTCGGATGCTAAAACACTGCCAGGCTCGAAAATCTCAAAATTTTGCAAAACTAAACACCCATGGCCCCATAGATGCCACGAATTTGGGAATTTTGGTGATTTTTGATCCCTGCCAGTGTTTTCGCATTTCAGGCTTTACAAATTTTGGGGATTTTCGAGCCAGGCGGCATTTGCTAACCTTGGATGCTGTGTTCCTATTATGTCTTTGTTTGTCACGTGTATACACATGGCATATGCTTTGTTTTAATGCCATGTCAAGGTGCGGTATGTTCCACGACATATACGTTGCAGTTCTCTCCCGAGTGAAAGTCATCGTTTGTGTCCCTCTTTTCCTCTTTTCCAGCATGATCCGCGACGGGGGTGACATATCCTTGCAAGATGCTCTCGATGCCACCAATTCCTTGAGATATTGTATCAAAACACACCACACCCGACGACAATCTGTGAAGTAAAACATTTGCAGTAGATATACAACATATACTTTGACATGCCATGTTGCACCAGACGCGCGGCACATGAGTTACGTGATAGTTTTGTGGAAGTATCGATATTACGATGAGTACTGTTCTTAATAATATGAGTACTAGTGTTTGCTGTAATAGTATACATGTCAGTATTAGTAAATATAAATTAGTGTCAGTGCTCATGCTCGTGTTAGAGTTATCGCTAGTGCCAGTGTCAATGTCAGTAATACAGCACGACTAGTATATCAATAGATTATTAATGCATTCGAACAGTAACATATTTGTATACTTGCATACTTGTATATTTGATATGTTAATACAACTGGTGCACGAGTACACTAGTATATTGGTGTATTAGTTTACTAGTATGTGTGCTGTATATTGTCTAGTCATATTTACAAGTATATCAGTATGTTGGCATATTAGTCTACTAATTTGTCATGTCGGTATACTTGCATGTTGCAGTAGTCGTATATTAGTATACTCACATATTAGTATAGCATATTCATACATTAACGGGAAGTATATTATTACATTGGTATATGGGTATATGTTTATGCCAAAACATTAGTACATGAATGCACTAATGTATATATCTGTATCTTAAGATAGTGGTATGTATTTTTATGTACATTAATATATGCAGGTGTCTATTAGTAAGGAGATTAGTATTCATATCAATACGAATATACTATTGGTATTCGTAGGAGTATTGATGTTGATATTAGAACTAAGACTATGCATAGTCGTATTAGCCATAATATAAGTGTTCATGCTGGTAATAGTACTGGCATTCATGAATATACAACAGATTATCAATATCCGTATCACTGTTGGTGATAGCATTATTGTTAACACCACAAGAGTTTATGTATTCGTACTCGTAGGAGTATCAATACTATTGCAAATATTGATGTTAGTATAAATATTGTGATAAGAATTATTAGTAGTAGTATTAGCGTTAGTACCATAATATTATGAACACACTTGAAGTATGTGTCACGCTTTCCAGGCAATCAGGCAATGACCAGGAAGATTCGAAGCTGCCAGTTTGAGTATTGGCATCGGCACCAAAACATGGCGACAGTGACAGGCAACATGTTGAAGTTTTTGCACAACCACCGGTGATGCCTCCTGAAACATGGAGTGCCAGGTTTTGGATGGAAGAGCGGAGCCCGAAAGTGAAATCAGAATCCGTTTCGGGTTTCGTGGGGATATAACATGTGAGAACAAATTACAACATGTAGAGCTAAGTAGATGCTAGGTGCAGAAAGTACCGCGAATACCGATGATTTTGTATGTAGGTGAAGTCATGTAGAAATCGAAGCATGAGCAGCAGGAGGTAGAAAAAAAC